GCAATCAACTCTTATCGAGTATTTTTGGTATTATCGCCTTAGCTAGGCAGGAGAACGTTAGGATCACCCTTGCCGACACCCAATACTTTTATACCATGTGCGCCCTTAACCTGAAGGAAAAAGGTTACGTCTATTACCTCAAGCCGAGGTCCACTGAATTCAAAATCGTAGCCGACCTTCCAGACTCCAACAAGGGGGCTGGAGATGATTATGTTATTGCTTCGGGAAATTGGGAGTTTGGCGTAGACGAAAAACAAACAATCAAACAAACAAAAAAGCAAAGAGAAATATTTTCATGATGATTCTGAAATATTTCAATAGGAAAATAAAACACTAAAAAATAGAAAAGGAGACAATCTTTATCTTTTTCTTCCTTCAATTTGAAATTTGAAGCAATTTCATATTAAACACAAATAAAAACTAAATAGGTCACCAAAAGAACCTATTTTCATCCAAATTATCAACTAAAATCCCACCAATATCTTGTATTCATAAAATTTACATTCAATTGCACATAAATTTTCTCATCAACTTAGTATCCATCATCCCGTTGAACATTCTCAAAATCAAAATAGAAACCAATACAATTTTATAAAATCAAAAACTATTCCACTCGTGGTCGATTTTCAATGTTTGGATGACGAATTGGGGTGTAGATTTCCACGAATCGAGAGAGATCAAACGACAATGAGAAAAATTTTAGATGAGATTGGCATTTTAGACAATTGGGAACACTGGAAGTAAATTAGGGTTTAAATTTTTTTAGTTGAGATTTTTTATTTTTAAAAGATGTGTATTTTGATATAATATTATGTATGTGTTTTGATATCCATTATTGTCATTTTATTTTAAGATATAATTGTTATTAAAATAACGTTTCATTAAATGTGTGTACTGAGATAAGTAAATGTGTTGAAAAAAAAATTTCCCAAGCTAGTAGAGCTTGGTAGCTTGGTGAAGTAGAGCAAAGATGAAACAATAAATGCACTTGTGCCTTGTATTTGTTATAAATTATTCTAAATTAATCTATCGAAAATGATCCAGAGCTCGAAACTCTACGGCTCGAAATTTTTTTTCCCTTTTCAAGCAAAGGAGCTCTGCACAAATAGAGGGAAGAGGAGAGGAGAAAAATGGAGAGAAGAGAGGAAGAAGAGAGGAGAAGAGAAAGAGGAGGAGGCAACACCACCGCCGTCGCAGTCGCCTCGCCGCCGTCGTCGCAGTCGCCTCGCCGCCGTCGTCGCAGCACCACCTCCTCACCTCCTCGCCGATCGTCGCACCACCGCCTCGCCGATCGTCGCAGTCGCTGTCGCAACCCCCTCCTGTCCAGTTCGTCGCAGCAGCTAGCCCGGTGCAGCCCCGCCTCCTCCTCCAGCCCGATTTTTATGGCCCCCTCCCCTTCCTCCTTCCTCCTCCTCCCGATCTTCTTCTCCACCCTTCTTCTTCTCCCTTCCTTTTCTTCTTCCTTTTCTTCTTCTTCTCCATTCTCCTTCTCTGCAAACAACACAGGAAAAAAGAAAAAAAAGAAAAAAAAAAAACGACACCAAAACGACGTCGTTTTGGTGTCGAGCCAAATTCGTGCCAAAGAATTCCGAGCTACGTAGCAGGGTCGTTAATCTATATATAGAAGTCAAATCTTAAGATGCCTTTAATTGACTTTGTTGTTCTTAATTAAATTAGTTTTTCTCGTATAAGTTGTAGTAAACGAATTGGTAAAAAATTCTAAATTAAAAAAAAAAAAATTTGAAAAAAAAAAATTGTACATGAAACCCAACCCAACCCAAACCAAACCAAACCAAAGGACCTTTAACACAAGCTCTGGATGCTGAGAAAAATGTTCGCATTGCAAATGACCTTAAATAATAAGTTCCACACACTGGCAAACCCCAAATGTAGGATACACATTTTTATCTCGTGTTTGTATTCGTGAAAATTTTTCGTATTCATAAAGTTGAATAGCAAAAGTCCAACTAACTAACTACCCTCCCTAAATACCAACTACAGCTTAGGGCAATTGTACCTCTTGCCTTTGCCAAAAGGAAGGCCAGAGGATTGAAGCCCACCCAGAATATGGGCTAGGCCCAATGGTTTCTAACACTGGACCTGTAGTGGTAGGCACTGGACAGGCCAGCATTTGGCCTATGTTTAATTAGGGCCGCTACGGCCACCTCACTTGACCCACTACTAAATTGTTTGAAATGAATAAAGAATTAGATAAATTATGAACTTAAATGTCTTAATCTGTGATTGAAATTAATTTTCAGTGTGATGTCACACAGTTCATTTTCTATGTATTTTTTTGTAGTTTAATTAAGTGTTTATATGTGTAACAATGTTGCATATCAAAATAGTTACGGTTAAATACACCCAGTTCCCTTAACTATTAAGGAATATTAATTTATACCTCTCATTTATGAAGATCATAGTACTCTCTATTACATATTCAATAACTATAAAATAAGTACGTGAATTTATTGTTATTTTTAATTAAGAAAAAATCATTACACTCGTTAAGATAGTTTTTTCAGAACCATTGGATATCATCCATTACATGGAAAGTATCTCAACTCCATCTATGAACCCATTCATCTTGAACTCTTAATTATAAAAATTGTATAAATACACTCTTTTTAAAAAGATCTAAAGGTAAGGAAATCAATAGCTTTTCATTTTTTTAGATGATTAATACGTTTTCATTAAAATAGTCAAAATATACAAATTCATAATAATAAAAAAGATAATTGATATTTGCAAATAATTTTGGGATGTTAATGTAATTAGAGTAATGCTAGAGATACAAATTTTCTACCAAAATTATTCTAAACACTTACATGAGTGTAGGACCTACGCGGATAGGACTCCACACCTATATTAGTGTTTGGTAAAACAACAATGAATAATGTTTGGGACCCCTTTTGGGGGTCACTCCCTCACCCCCTTTGCCACGTGGCGGGTGGTGATTGGAGGAGCAGGAAAAAAAGAAAAAGAAAAAGAAAATGTAACCAATGAGAGAGAGAGGGGGTCAAAGGGGGTGGGAGGAAAAGGGAGATGAATCATTGTTGAACAACAATACTACAAACTCAGATTTATTAACTCAAAATTTACCCAGAAAAATGACACAGTGGTTCAAATTTATTTTACTCATGGACCCACACTTCATCAATTTAATCTCTACCATACAAACACATTCAAAATAAATTATGTGTGATAATGGTGGATTCATAGCATTTTTGTTGGTAGAATATTTGTGGTCAATATCATTTTTAATGTAATTAACCCACGAGTAAATTATAGTAAATCTTCTTAAATTATGACTCATTTATATTTTCTTTCCTAAACTTTAAAACTCAAAAGTAAACCACTTCAAATGATTATCTTGTTACAGTAAACCTTTTTTGTTAGAATTCTGCAAAATAAAATTATATAAAATTAGATCATTTGTAAAGCACATAACACATTTATTAAATTTTTAATGCAATAATGTCCTTATATGGTGATCTCTTTGCACTTTACTACTAAGATTAGAGAGGTAAAGTGCAAATAAAATTATCAAAAAAAGGGTATATTGTTATCCTAAAAAAAATAATGAATATTATTGTCTGAAAAATCAATAAAATATGTCATTGTTTCATACATGACCTAATTTCGTGTAAATCCCTAACAGAATAATAACAAAAAGGGTTAATTATAATAAAATAATAATTTAAAGTGATTAACTATTAAATTTTACTATAAAAAAATATATTGAATTTTAAATTTCAAAAAAATAAAATACAAATGAGTCTTGTTTTGGGAAGTTGGTTTTTAGCCACTTTTTTGGTTTGTAGCAAAAACCAAAAGTTAGCTTTTTGATTTTTTTTTTATTTGGGAAGTTGGTTTTTAGCCAATGGTGAAATTACAATTCTATTCTTCATGGGTCAAAATGTGTTAAATGGGTGGAATTGTAAATATTTTAAACTAAATGGGGATAGTTTGGTCATTTATTATGATTTGACATCATAAACAAATATTAATCAAAAAAAACCAAAAGCCACTTTTACAACTTCCCAAATCATTTGTCTAAAAAAGCTAAAAGCTTGATTAAAAGTTAAAAAGACACTTTTTACTATCTTTCCAAAATAGGCCTTGTAGAAGAGAGTTTACTAAGGTCAAGATTTTTAATTTTTTGACTATTTTATGAGAAAAAAAAAATATTTGTGAGATAATTTGTAATAATTTTTTTTATAATTGAATAAAAATAATTGATTAATATTGTGTGGGTGAAAATCTGACCACACTGCCCGTCTAGTGATCAGCTGGAGAGCACAAGCAGAATAGATGGCTTAAGCAACCTGAAACAGAAAGAAAAAGCTCCGGCGGTGGTTCTTCCACCCGGGGACACTCCGACGATCAAGTCAGTATATCTCTCAAAGACAATCAAGTACTAAACTGAATACTCAAAGTCTAAATTACATACCTTAGACCCACGGGGGTGCCTCTTTTTTATAATATACTCAATCCAAGTCCCACTAGAAGTATGACTTCTATGAACTCTAGTTTACTGCTTACTCTGGACTCTTTTAAGTGATAAAGATAAACTTCTTGAGAGTTTTATCCTTATTTTGGTTCAATCCCCTTTGTGCCTTAGGACTCTTGCCCCTTATCTCGGATTCCGATATCTTCGGAGATGACCTCGGCTTCTCCGAGATTACCTCGGCTTAACTACCAAGGCACGTGGCACCTCGGCTGACACGTCGGCGTCACCATGCCACATGTTGGTATTCAGAAAATATATCCCCACAAATATATATGATATAACATTTTATTTTATTTATTATTTTAATTTTTTTATCTTTATTAATTATTTTGAGCAAAATAGAAGTCCTCGTGGCCAAACGTACCCTTAACGCAAATGGCTAGTGAGTTAACTAGTTTGCCGTTCAAGTTCAAGCCAACACAGCACGCCAACAAGGCTACAGACCGGCATCCACTTTTTCAAATTTCAAATTTAAATATATTTTTTTAAACGGCCTATTCTTCGCCACCTGTTCCACAACTCACAAGCTCGTCCTTACTTAATTGACAACTATACCCCCATCACTACCACATTATTACACGCCACTATTACTAACTATTCCATCATTTTGCATAAACAGCAAGGGTAGTTTCGTACCAAGAAATGCCAAATCCAGAGTCCCACAGAGACTCCCCAATCCAGCTCAAATTTTGCAGAATCTCCGCTGAACTCAGCAACAACGTTTTCTTCTTCATCTTCAAAATTCAAATCTCAAATTTCATTGCAGTACTATATAAATTCACCACCAAAACCCAAATCAAATCACTACCCAATTCACTATCTCTCTCGAATCGAGTTGGGTTTGTGTGAGATTGATTGAAAATGAAAGCTTCGATCAAGTTTCGCGAAGAGAGAAACCCACTTTTTCGAGCTAAAGTCCCTCTCAACATTCTAGGGTTACCATTCCAATCCGGAATCGTTGCTGGAGAATCGAAAGAACTGTCTCTGAATCTCGGAACTTTCTTCGACTCTGGTCCTTCTCTGAAGATCGCGTATCGACCCAACGATTCGCAAAACCCTTTCAATCTCGTGTTCAAAACCGGGATTGGGCACTTTGGATCGCCGATTTCGAGTCCCATGACGATGAGCGCTGAGTTCAATCTCATCGGGAACCAAAACCCTAGCTTCTTCATCCACTTCAAGCCCCAATTCGGCGATTTCTGTATCAAAAAGTCCCAATCGTCGGACTTTGTTGTGAAGAGCATTAATTCGAAACCCAACGGTTCGATCTCCGACGACGATTCATCGATGGAGGTGGTCGAGACGCCAGTGAAGAACCCGATGTTCTCCGGCAAGAGAATTACGGTTTTGACATCGGAGTCGCCGGCAGCGAGCTTGATTGGTGGGTTGTTGAGTGGTATGGAGGCGAGCGCGAAGACTGTTGTTCCGGTGATGAATCGAGCGGTGGTGAATTTCAGGTGGGGATTTAGGTTTCCGGTGGCGGAGGAAGCGGCGGCGAGGAACCCCGCTGCGGCGATTTCGATCCAGAAGCTTCCTCTCCTGGTGATGAACAAAATTGGGATCGAACCCATGACAGAGGACGATTCGAAAGATTCAATCAAGGTGAGCCCGGGTTTGAATTTACAGGGAGGTGATTTTGTGGTGGAGACTTGTTCGGCTGTGAAGCGTCAATTGGAGCTCATACAAGTCGAGAATGGGATGCTTAGGAAAGCCATGGATGATCTGAGGTCTGAATTTTCCAACGGAAAGTCGAATTTCTCGGCCGCTTCCGGGGGTGTTGAGTTGGGAAAATATAGAGCTGATCGCCGGAGTAACGGCGATAAAATTTCATCGGAATCGAATGGGTTTGGAGGAAAGGTGGCGGAAGGGGACGTGAATGATGGGTTGAAGAAGGCGGCCACCGGCGGTGCTTGAAACTTGACGACATTGCTTGATATGCATTTCTCAATGCAGTGTTTTTGTGGTTTTGCATTTATGTATTAAATGTTTTTTTTTTTTTTTTTTGGTTATATTATTTATCTATAGTTTAGGAACTCATTTTTCTTTTTTCCTTCTTTCATTTTTGTTTAGAGTTTTTGTTATATTTTTATTTTGTTTGGTTGTTTAGGAAATGGTCTGTACATTGTTTATATATAAAGTTTGGAGTTTGGCCCCATATTTCTAGGTGAAATTTTATTTATTTATTTATTTATTTTGTGTTAAATTGATTTGAGTATTGGAAAAATTTATCGTACAATGTGAAGAATTGATTTAGTTATTTTATGAACAACAATGATTCATTTTCCTTTTTCTCTCACTCCCTTTGACCCCCTCTCTCTTTCTCATTGGTTACATTTTTTTTTTCTTTTTTTTTCTGTTCCTCCAATCACCACCCGCCACGTGGCAAGGGGGTTAAATTGATTTGACTATTGGAAAAATTTATCGTACAATGTGAAGAATTGATTTAGTTATTTTATGAAACATAATTAAAATATAAAAAAAATTAATAACTAAATAATGTTTGAGATATAATTAAATAATATATGAGGTATAATTAAAAATATCATAAATTATAATTAAATAAAAAATAAAAAACTTAATTTAAAGATACATCTGATAAAAGGGTGCTTTGAAGTATTTTAAAAAGTTGATAAAAAGTTGATTTTTGATTTTTGATTTTTTTAATCAAAAAAGTTAATTTTTTGAGTAATGACTTAGGTAAAAAAGTTAAAATTTTTTTTTTTTTGTTAAAAAAAAGTTAAAAGCTAGTAGAATTTTTCCATCATACAATTGTGAGCACGACGTGGCAATGAGTTGGTACTTTTTGAAGCAATAATTAGTTCAATTATGCAAAGGGAGCTAACATAATTTTCCTCAACAATGCTACGTAATTCAAATTTTGTGGTTTAAAAGTAGCTTAAATGGTCAAAACAACGTCGCTTTGAGTACAGAACAACATAAAAATGACCAAAATGACGTCGTTTTGGCCATTTGAGCCATTTTTGAGTCACAAAATTTGAGTTACGAGACATTTTTCAATCTTCCTTGAAGTGATGGATACTTTAGGTAGTATATGATGATACTTTAAATATTTTATTTTTTTCAAAAAATATGATTATATTTTTGTTTTATATATATACTAGCGTATGTCCGTGCTTAAAGGCATGATGTAAATAATATTAAGATTGAAATGTAGATATAATTTATACGTATTATGTTAAAATTTGTAAAATTTGTGTCATTTTTTGATAAAGATACTGAAAAAATATATTGAAATATTTTTCTTCGTAAAGAACTTGAGAACATTGAGAACCTTGATAACATTGAGAACCTTGAGAACCTAAAGGCACGGTGTAAATAATGTTTTGTTTGAATAATTTTCATTTATCATTTTCTCTTAAGTTAGGAACATTGAGAACCTAAAATTTTGTTTTCCCATGACATACAAAAAATGAATAGATAACATACATTTTAGCAAGAGGATCCCCTTTAAACACAACCTCAAAATAAGAGGAACGACAAAATGGTGTTCTCCCTTTGGAGTACACCATGCCAATACAAAAATGGTATTCTTGATCAAAATCTAAATAACAAACACCTCCAAATGTCTACCTTTCAAACCAAACCAAATCAATATAAGTTTACACAGCATCAATCTGCCTTTAAATAATCTTTAACTTTATACAGCGTCAATCATTTTCAAAGTTTGTCAACGATGAAACCAAAAATAGTGTAAATTTTGTACTCGAGATTGCCACTCTTTCAACACTCATCAATCAAAGAAGAGCACGTTTAGTATACACAATACAAAATCATTAGAGAGATAAGAAAACCTTAATCTTAAAAAAATGTAGACCTATAAAAAGGGAGTCAATATTACCATTCACATCTAGTCTTCATCCACCTGTAAAATACAGAAAAAAGCCAATATGATAATTAACAGAGACTACCCAATTCAAAACAAACACATGCATTGTCACACTAATGAAAGGTTTTTTTATAGACCACACAATTCAAACTAAACACAAACATTGTTGCAAAATAATAATTGGTTACCCAATACAAACACTACGAACAAATACAACACATTGTCAACACAGATACAAATTAATGACTGATAAAAATATTAATTTACACAAATCAATCAATATTTTCTTTGGGGTTTATTTTTTGTTCAATTCTTTCTTTTTGGAACTTCCTTTAATTGATCACATAAGGTTAGAGAGAAAATTTAAGAAAGAAGTGTTCTTAAGAAAGAATTTAAAAAAATAAAATTCAGAAAGCAAACTCTTCGCTTGGTAATTCAATAACAAACTCTAACTAACTTAATTCCCCCATCATTTACAAATCAATACAGCTTAAAAAACCCATTTATTTTGTCCAAAAACCCAAAGCCACTTATTATATCAGTTTAGTCCCATCAGTTTTGTATATGTAACCACCCTCCATCACTTTCTTCAATCTTCACCTACACCCATCCAGATTCATTTTGCTTCAAACCTTAAATACATTTTGAATATTTGTTATTGACATGATCATCAGTATGTGGGGCTCTAGAGTGTGTAGCTGTTGCAGTGTGTAGCTGCTGCAGTCAGATGGTTGGGGTGTGTAGCTGTGTTTTAGGTGGGGGCTCAAGAGTGTGGGTTTTTGTATTTTAGTTTTCTGTTGTTGTTGTTTAAATTTTAAAATCGTGAAGCTAAAGGGTTGGTTGTAAGAACGCGAGTAACAGTAGTAGGAGAGTAAGTTTTTACTCTTTGAATCTCTCTCATTGCGTTTTTTTTTCTTTGTACATGTAAATTTCATGTTTTAATGGAATTTTTCTTTGCCGATCAAAAAAAAAATGATCATAAGTAAAACTCAAAACTCAAATAAAATAACAATTCCCCTAGCCTTAATGCAAATTAAGAAACAAACATATAAGATTTATAATGTTCACTAATATTGCAAATCAAAATATTAGAATAAGTAAAAAAAATTGTAAACATAAAGTTAAGAAAAAGAAAATCAATAAAATCTGACCACTTTAGAGTTGGGCAACTATACATATCATCACACATGGTTAGAAAAAATAATTAATTGAATAGATTAGAAACAGAATTGGTAAATAACCTTGCTGCAATTCAAACCCCAATTCAAACACATGTATAATGGCATTGTTGTAGGACTCAATCATGATGCATATACCCACAAACCTAATAATCTCACAACCCAAATCTTACAAACCCACACTGCTCTAAACACATAAAAGTGACAAACCAACAAATGAGAGAACATGACATACGCAATATTCAATGATCAATAAAAACATTCAAAATTACAAACCTTACAAACCCACACTGCTCTCTGTTTTTTATTTTTATTTTTTATATATCTGCAAATAGTATATAAACCCATGTTGGAAGTAGAATTACCTGCAAAAGATGAGGCTGTTGTGGGAAGAACACTGCTTGATGCATATACCCAGATAGACATCTTCGAACAAACCTATATAAAAAAAATGTATATTTTTTGACACATACATACACACATATTTATTTGTGTAAATAACAAAAATCACCTAAGATACGAAACTGAAAACTAAGAAGCAATAAGGAAATTACTTACACTTGAATATATATATATATATATATAGAGAGAGAGAGAGAGAGAGAGAGAGAGAGAGAGAGCATGATGAATGAACATACATATGTAAATAGTATTAAAATACACACCAGATGAATGCACGCACATATGTAAACCAAAGCCCCCCGCATTAAAAAAAAAATACCTTTTTTTTTTTGTGGTCCTTTTCAGGAAATCCCAATGGCCAAAAACTGAAGAACAAACCGAGTGCAAATCAATCAATCAAACCAAATTAAACTCAATAATTCCAACAAAACCCATGCTGAGAAGAAGTCATATGAAATTGTGGTTTAGAAGACAGATATAAAACGGGTACTTGGAAGGGACGCATTTGATGGAGAAAACGAAAACCGAAAGAAAACACATTACCTTACATTCAAATAAGTAAGTATAAAAACAAATAATAAAGAAATTAATATTGAAATTGCAAAGAAATTGTGAAATTGCATTATGGAAAATACAATTGTGGTGCTTTGGTGTTTCATGAAGCTAAAATTTAGTCAACATTTGGAGTTAGCAGTTCAGATTATTCAGGCAGTGGCTTGAAGCAAAAAAAAAGGTTTCTAACAATTTGCTATCAAAATGGTAGGCAAACCTAAACCCAAAAGAGGTGTTCAAATGTTTTTTTTTTATTGCACCTTTTGTGGGTAACAAAATAGATCAGAAAGAGGAGGAAAAAGAGATTACCTTGGTGAGAATCAGTTCAGTTCAGTTGAGTAACTGGTAAAAGCAATGAAGTCAACCAAGAAAGAGGAGCGAGCAATTCTAGCTAAATAAAGAAACTACAATGAGAGGAAACATGTGGTTAGCAAACAGATAAACAAAGCAAAAAAAGGAACTTAAACTGAAGAATTTAAGGAAAGAAGAATTAAAGCACATAAAGAAATTCACAGGACAATGAAGAAATTGCAATGTTAGCAAACGGATAAATAAAGTAAAAAAAGGAACTTGAAGATGAAGAAACTGCAATGCCTTTATAATTAGGCTCTTGCTCTCAACATCATCATACCAAAAGGTTATGGAAAAAACTGCAATGCCTTGAATCGAAAAAAATTTAACTGAAAAAAACAGAACCAAAACCAAGAACCATTGCAACACTGTAAAATGATCATTCTATTTAATCAAAACCAGAACCAGCCAAGTGATATTATATTTTGGTAACCACCATTAAGAAATCATTATACTATTTACCCCAATCTATCAAACATGTAGATTATCATAGCAGAAAATAGCATAGTCAAACAACCATTGTCTATTTAATAAAAAACAGAACCAACCAAGTGATATTATACTTTGGTAACCACCATTAAGAAATCATTATATGCCTTTAATCAAAAAAAATGTAACTAAAAAAAAAAATTACAACAGGAACCATTGCAGCTCTGTAAAATGATCATTCTATTTAATCAAAAACAGAACCAGCCAAGTGATATTATATTTTGGTAACCACCATTAAGAAATCATTATACTATTTACCCTAATCTATCAAACATCTAGATTATCACAACAGAAAATTACATAGGTAAACAACCATTGTCTATTTAATCAAAAACAAAACCAGCCAAGTGATATTCTATC